TATCTATATAACATAATTATAATATATATAACTGTCATGTCATAAAAAAAATTAAAAGAAAATGTCAAATGGAATTATTTAATTGTCACGTCATGTTTAACTGACGAAAAAATCAAAATTGTATAATTTTTAGAGTTAAAAGATCAAAAAAGTGAAAAGAATAATCTAAGGATCAAAAAAATGTAAATTTATAAAGTTGAGGGATCAAATTTAGTATTTAACCTTTTCTTTTTCTTTTTCCCGCATGTGGAGGGTGACATGGAGGGTATCATTATATCCACATCAGTTATTTCCGTTAAGTTAACGTGCCACATGAGCAAAAATTAACAGAAGGACCAAAAATGGGCCGGATTTGTGAACAGTAAGGACCAAAAAATGGATTTTTTCGGTACAAGGACCAAAAATGAGCTTTTTCCTTATAGTAGAGGGACCAAAAAAGGTATTTAACCTATTATTAGCTATTTATTTAGATTAATTAAACTATTATTATTTTACTTTGAATTTATCTTCAATTAATTATTATTTTTTTCATTTTTTTAAGTAGATAAATATTTTTTCTATTTAATCATATTATTATATATTTATTTAGATTAATTATCCTATCATAAAAAGTCTTATTTTATTTTTAACTTTTTTTTAAAGATAATATAAGTAAATATATAAACAATTTCAAAATTCTTAATTTAGAAAAAAAAATTCTAAAACAACAGTTATTATATGACATATGAAATAGATCTTTAAGAGAACTGCAATTATCCCCGCATATGTTTTATTGAGAGTGTATTTAACTTCAAATTACAAATTGACGGCCTCAATTGGCTCAATGGTTCACCCTGAAGACTTATTACTTGGGAGTTTAACTCTTATTAAGGACTTTGAAAAATGCTCACATTCATAATACACATTTAACCCCCAAACCTATTAAATATACATGTGGAAAGGTAAAAATACTTAGAGAGTGCACGTACCAAACCACATGGGATTTAAATTGCACATTTTCATAATTTTTGAGATTAGGTGTAAGTTGTTTTTGTTATGATCTAACAAGGGATCTAGTTGTTGTGTTTTTTTTGAAGTTATAAGTAAAGTACCCCTTATACTTTTTTATTTAATAAAATTTTTTTGTTTTATAAAAAAAATAAAAATAAAAAGGTGTAGATTTCAAAGCACATCTAGTCGAATACACATTTGTATATATTACAAAATTAAAAGTGACCACCTTAAAATAGATGAGACATAAATGCAATTTGCTTTAAAACTAAGGCTATTAGCAAGTACAGTAATTCATAAGTAACTTATGAGCTACTCAAATCAAGTTTGACTCATTTAGAAAATGTCTTAAGCATGAACTTAATATTGAGTTAGATAAAAAAAAAGAGTTTGAGCTCGAACTCACATACCTACTCGCAAGTTACTTGTAAGTATGTGGTTTAAAATTAAAAATTATATTATATATTGTTACAATTTAAGTATAATATCTCATAAACTTAATAAGGCTGAAAATGTAACTTGAATAAGTTATATATGTTGAGTTTTTTAAAACCATTAATTAAAATGTTTAAATAGAGTTTATGATTGTTTTTTTTACTATTAGACTTTATATAATGCTCTTGTTTAAACTTCTAGTTTTACAATATTTTTGAAAAATATAAATAAATTTATAGTTAAATAATTAATTGTTGAAACAATTTAGAATTACTAAAAAAATAAAAAAATAAAAAAAAACTCAAATTTCTAGTTCAAACTCATGAATAAACTTGAACTCACTCGAACATTCTTGAGCTTGAACACGAGCTCAACTATTTAAGTTTGAGAAATACTTAAGCTTGACTCGTGTTTGAATTTTTAATGTAAGCTTGAGTATGAATGCCTAAGTACTCGACTCGAATCAACTCGACTTGTTGATAACCCTACTTCAAATCTACTAACATTCTAATAATCTAAGCAATTTAATAATAATATTTTCTCTATGTAGATTAAGATTTATGATGAAGAAATAAATGATTATTGCTTTTTATTATACAACTTAAAATAAAATTAAAAAAAATAAAAAAGAACTAGTAACATTGAAACAAGACTATCTTGATTCGAACAGAAGGTTCTTTGCTATCTTAGGGTCTGTTTGGTACAGCAGTTAAAATTCAGTGGATAACGAATAGCAAGTAGCGGATAGCGGATAGCGGTAGCGGGTAGCGAGTGGCGGTTAACGGACAACGGATGACAGATAGCAAAAAGTGAGTAGCAGATGGTAAATAACGGATTCGATAAATATAACTGTTTGGCTATACAATGGTTAGCGGTTGTTATTTAACATTAAATGACTAATAAGGATATGTTTAAAAACAAATAAATATATTTTTTAAAATATTTTTATTTATTATT